GGAAGAACCTACAATAGTAAAACCCATAGTGTGTTGTTTTCCATTAAAAACTTACCGTGGCTGTATAAATGGGAGTGTGTTGCATCCTCTTTCTGCTCCAATTGGGAGAAGTTTGAGCTGAGCAGGGCAGGATTTTGTGTTTATAGGGTGCTGAGTCATACCTATGCTCATTGGGTTTGTTTAGCATCACCTGCAGAGATTTTCCTACTCTACTGAAAGCAGGATTGCACAGAAGGATTCAACCCTGCAAAAAGCTTTACATGGACAGAATTCCTCCTGCTGAATTATTTCCTTTGTGAAGAATCTCTATCAAAGGTAATAAAGTTCTAAATCAATAGTCTGAAATGTATGCAGAGCTATAATCTTCCTGTAGATTTGGTAATCCCCCGTGACATTTACAGGACAGTTTCTGCAAACTCAGAATTCCAGGGCTGAATTAGCATTTCTTAGGTGGAAGAGATCCCCTGTGTGTGAAGCAGCAAAGAATCACCAACTCACGGCTGACAACGTTTGTATTTATGCATCAGCAACTCATTTTCAGGATTTAGAGGGGGGGGGAAACAGGCTTTGGCTGATTTTCCTTGTCTGCAAGTGTTTTCTGGCAGGATTTTGATTTTTCCCCTTTCTCCCCCACCCTTAAGGAGCCTTGGGCAGCCCGGCACGAGGCCAGCCCTGCTTTGCCCCCGTAACTCCCCGAATTTGTGCCGCGGTGTCGGACCCCCAGCACCTGCTGGGCGCCTTTCAGGCTGCTTTAACTGGATCACAAGTTCCCAACTGTAGATGGATGTAACAGAGACTAATCCCATAATCTAGACAGAAGTACAAGCCCTGGATGGGGAGCAGCTCGTGTTACTCCGGTTGCCCTCCAGCCGACGTGGCAGGGGAGCTCAGAGCCCGTCGTGCCCCCACAACCATTTCTGGGTGAGTAAGAGCTGTGGGGCTGATTTGGGTTGATTTTATTTTCCCTTCCCAAAGTCTGAAGATAAATATGCAAAACAAAACTTTGTGCTTTGGCCCAAAAGGAAAACAACTTCAGTTCAGAAAAGGCGCTTCTGCACTGGGTAAATATTATTTGTACTCGAGGCGCAGAAGTCAAGGACTGGCATCACTTAAAAAAATAAAATAAAATCCAGCAGCGGAATAATGGAGCAGCATTTTGGGTGCTGTAACAGTACCAGGGGTGAGGAGAGCTGCTGCCCAGCTTTTCAGAGTCGCTGCTTGAGACATCCACATTTTTAGAAGTGTTTTTTGCAGCCCCCACCTCCTCTGTGCCAGCAGAACATCGATCAGGAGCTGCCGAGCCCGGACCTGGCGGTCGATGGCTCTGCAAACCCAGAGCCTGCAGAAATGAGATTTACCATTGGCTTTTTAACTTCTTGTTGACAGGCTCTCGCCAGTGACAGCTCTTCCTCTCTCTCCTCTTTCTCTCCCATTCCAAGATTTAATACTGTTTTACAACTCTAATTAAGGACGTGGCTCTACAAATATTTACAAGCCGCCGTGGCGCTCGCTGGGAATCACCAGCCATGGATCCACCTACAGATCCCTTCCCAGGAGGGCGTAAAACACAGCCCCACTCAATCCCCACCACATAAAATGGGAGTTTTAAATCCCCTTTCTTACCCTGCTTTCCCAAATCTTAAGAATTCAACCCAAAATCCATCTGGAGCAAGATTACTGCTCTTCAGCAGAGAAGTCTGGCTTTCTTTCCATGACATTAAACCAAAAGTTATTTACTTTGGCCATTTCCATCTCTTACAGTGTTAACAAAAATAGATGCTTATTGCTTTAATAAAGGTTTTGATTTGGAAATTATTTACCATTTAGACTTTGTACACTCTAATTGCTTTTGATTCTTCGGAATATCTCTAATGGAAAGCAGCTGAAAGACTGAGGTTTAAAAATGGGCTCTTGCACATTTGAAGTAAATTTTATCCTGCAATCAGTCGTAAAGATCTTAACTGCAGCTATCACATATCCTAAATATGTAATTGCTGTGGAGCCTTTCCAGTCTATTGGTTACAGGACTCTAGAAAAAGGGGAAAGTGAGTACAAATGTAGGCCCTGATGTCTGTGGGGCTTTTAGTGGATCAGCAGGACTGTTCACCTGCCTGATATATTGTGTGTATATATATATTTTCTAGGCTGGAATCTCAGAATTCGACTGTCCAAAGACAAATGAATAATTCCATTTGCATGGGAAGCTCACTGGATTCCAAGGAAGCTGCTCTGGTGAGTAAAGCAGTGAATTTTGTCCGGGTTTTGGGATCAGACCCTTGACTGGAGGGCATCCACCCCCAGCCCCACATGTTCCTGGGGGAAGGACTTAGGTTTTCAATGGGCCTCCATCCATGTGTGGATCCGCCCTGAACTCAGAGGGGACTTTGGACATGGCCCAAGAGGACCAGGTTGCTCTAGTCTGCTCTGCCTGAACCTAGGGAATTGCTACTTAAAAACACAGAAGGGAAAACTCAAAAGTACCCCAATTTTGAGGGATTTTAAAAGCATCTTGGTCAAATGTAGGTATAGATTCATTGGTCTGTATTCTGAATGGTCTATAATGACCAATAAGAAAGTGAAATGGCATCTCTGCTTACTTTTAGTAATTTTTGCTTTGAAAACAACCCACTCCTATGTCCTGGCCTTCTCTAGAGAGGAAGAGAACACAGCTTACAAATATTTGAAATTTAAAAGCAAAGAAAGCCTCTGGTTCTCTTCTTTTTGTATAATATGAAAAGCAGAGAAGATTCAGCCTCAAAAATTGCTTAAGATGTTTAACGCTCTCCACTAAAATCACAAAACCGGTGTAATTTATTGTTACCAGCAAAATGCTTGCTTTCAATCCTTTCTTTAAAGGATTGTGAGGTATTTCTCTACTAAATTAGTGTGAATGGCTGCTAAATACACACCAGAATTCCTCCAGCTGGGAGACATGGCTGTGCAAAGGCCAGGCCACTCAGGTCCTTGAGGAGAGCAGAGGGAGAAGCTGCTGCAAGCCCAGAGGCTGCTGAGATGGATCCTTGGTGGTGGGCAGCTTATATAAACTCTGGATATGCTCCTTCTGGAGTTACCTTATTATAACAAAGACCAAATTTGGAGTCTCTCATTCTTATGATTCTACCCCGTGCTTCCTTCCACCCCCTCTCGAGTTCTTTTTTTAAAAAATTCCTAAATTCAGAAGGTAACCTGCTCTGCCACTGCGGAGCTGAAGTTTCTCTCCCTGCCCTTGGTTTGGTGGGACTTTGGGATGCTGAGCTCCACCTCGATGGGCTCAGCACCCCGAGGCCTCCCCATGCACACCATGGAAGATGGGCAGCCAAGAAGACAACAGTGATCAGTACTTAACATTAGGTGGCACAAAAGAGTTTCCTTTTGCTCGCAGAACACTGAAATCGACGGGCAATAACAAGCAGAGATCTTCTTTTCTTTAAACAAAATTCTCCTTCCCTATTTTCCCTAGCTTTCCAGCGGCCTTTGAAGTGCTCCTGTTTATAAACTTACTTGATTTCGTCTTTCATTGCATCTCTTTTGTCTCTTAACCTAATTTGTTTTAAAATAAGACATAGCCCAGCCCTCGCTGTGCTTGTATTTACAGAGCAGCCAAAGGGCTCTAAAACAGGCTAATTTCAGTGAAACGCCTTCTGTCCCTCCTCCAAACCAAGGCTGCATTTAAGAGCTTTGCCTCTCAGGACCCTGCGTGCTCAGAGCCAGAGTGACCACGCAAGGGCATGTTTTAACCTGAAGCTTTTCATCCGTGTCCTTAGCTGGGGTTGTTTCCAAACCGCGGCCGTTTACTCCTGGTTTGGTCCCTGGTGTGCATTTATCCTGTTCCTGCAGTTCACTGCAAAACGTGCTTTTGGGGGTTATATTTCCTTCTCCTGCTGCTGTAATCCTTTCGGAGAGAGCCGGAGGTTGTGGTCCCTCTGTGGAGGCTTTGCTGCCCAGCACAGGGGCAGCTGCCCTCAAGGCTGCGGTGCTGCAGCTCGCCGAGATTTACAAATGAAATAAATCAGTTTTATGGTTAAGAAACAAAGCCTCGCCCGCTGTTTACATCCCAAATCCCTCTCGCTCCCAGGTACAGGATGGCCGGGCTGTTGGGAAGGCGCCTGTCCGCTCGCTGGCTATCGAAGACAAGAGCTCTCTCTCTCCCTGCTCGGGTCGCTCCTCGGGATTCCTAAAGGTAATTTTCTCCCCCTAAACTGTTGGCAGAAGGGCTGGGTATTGTTTTCTCCCGAGGTTCGGCCTCAGAGCGGGCGAAAAGAAAGAAAAGAAAAGGCCGTTTCGCTGCCGGTTCCTTGAAGTTGTCGCTGCCTGCCTGCCTCCCCCAGCAGCCGGCGGGCGGCGGGGCCGGAGCGGCCCCGTCTCCCCCCGTTAGCCGTGATGGAGTGTTATTGTTCCGCCGCCCGCCCGGGGGGAGCGGGGGCGGCCGCAGGAGCCCCCGCGGCCCGGGCAGCGTGGAACAAAAGAAACTTCCTCCGCGCCCCGGCTCGGAGGCGGGGGGGTGGGGACGGGACCCCCGGGCGGGTCCCCGGGGATGCCGGGGGGGACCGGCCGCGGGTGGAGGGGGAGATGCTGCGGGGGCGCGGGGGGCGAGGCGGGGGCAGCGCTGCTACTGCTGCTGCTGCTGCTACACATCACCGAGATCCACAAACACCGACAGAAACTGCACCTACACGCACGGCTCTCTGTTTATGTTCACACGCTGCCCGGCCCCGCCACCCCCGAAAAAACCGCAAAGACCTTTTTCCGCCCCAAAAGCGCCTTTTCTATCCGAAAGGGCCTTTTCTCCGCCCCCGAAAGCGCCTTTTCCATCCCGAAAGCGCATTTTCAACCCCCCTAAAAAACCGCCTTGGCTGCGGCAGGTGTAAACCGAGGGATGAGCCCCCTCGGACCCCCCTGCCCCGAGGGCACCGGCCCAGCCCGGGGATGCGGAGCCCCCTCCGAGGAGCCCCCGCACCGCGGCTCGGCCACCGCACAAACCACGCACCCGGAGCTTTCGGTCTTATTTTGGTTTTCTTTCGTAAAAATGTTTATTTAAACTTTTTTTTTTTGTTTAATTTTTTTTTCTCCTTTTACAACAATAAAATATTGCGTCAATATAAACCCCTTGACTAAAACTGGTCGACAACCAAACGTTACAGCCACTCGTGTGTTTCGTTATTATTTTTATCCGACACCCATTTAGGCGCTTTTTTTTGTCGTTTCTCTCTGAAACGTTTCTTTTTTTTAATCTCTCTCTTTTTTTTTTTAAACATAATGCGGAATTTATTGAAAATAAATAATTGTTGGCAACTGCAATAGGCAATTTTGGATAAAATAGTTGAAAAAAGCAACCTTTAATGAAAATAGCGTTTATTATACATCAGTTACTAAATGAATAAACTAAATGATCTTTCTTTAAATTAATAACTTCCAAAAAACGTTTAATATACAAAACTGTACAGTTATAAAGTTGGCAGAAATAGGCAGGTCCTCAGTGTCATTTTTTTCTTTTTTTTTTTTTCTTTTTTTCTTAATTTTTTTTTGGTTTTTTTTTTTTTTTTAGCGCTTACTGAAAAATACTTGAAAAATATAAATGTGGAAAGGAAAAAATCATCTGGAGGGCGAGGGGAGGGAGCGGGGCTGTACGGGGTCCCGGGTGCGGGGGGTCCCGGGTGCGGGGGGAGCCCGGCCCTGCCCGGCGGCCCCGGGGGGTGCAGGAGCACCCACCCACCCACACAACCCCCGTGGGTGGGTGCGTGGGCGCTGCACCCCCGTCCTTGTGTCCAACAAGGGGCGAGGAGAGGGGGCGGTTACAGCTCTGCACCTCCCTGTGCCCAAAAAAGGGTTCTGCGTTTAGCATTTTACTGACTTTTCCTTTGTTTTGTTGTTTTGGTTTGGTTTGTTTTTTTTTTTCTCCCTGTTCGTTTTGTCGCTGATTATATTTTTTCCCCCTCCCTATAAAAGCTTTTCCACAAATCCAGCATCTCCCTGTGACACGGAAAGAAGCTCAGCGTGAACCAAATGCAGGTGTTTTCTGTCCCAATCCATCCCTCCCTCCCCCCCTCTCCCCGAAATTCATGAGACACCTCATTCCTCTTCACTATCGAAACAAAATACAGAGAAACCGATTTCCGAAGCCAAAGCGCAGAAGGATAAAGGTGTTTTACTACAGACCTCTCAGTCTGGCGCTGATCAAAAAGCCCAACTCATCTTCGGAAAGAAAAAAAGACTGGCAAATGCCACGGGTTTGGTTGTGATGCTTAATTTCGGGTAAATCTCTCAGAAATAATTATTTTTTTATATATATATATAAAATTTTTGTTTTCCTTGGGAGAAGAATGGCGGGGGGGAAGGTCAGGATTGTTACCCGACCGTTTTACGGTGTTGGGAAGTTCTTGAAAAAGGAAGAAAAAAGCTGCAACAAATAAGCCTGTTCTTCACATCGGTGCGGGGGCTCCGCGGGTGCGGAGGGACCCCCGTGTCCTCGGGGAAAGGGGGGAAGGCGAGGAAGGGCCGCGGCCGCCCTGCCCCGTCCCCGCTGGGTGACATTGCCGGTGGCGTGGGCAAGGGAGAAACGCTTTTGACTGCTCGATTCGGTACAAATTAGGTCACAAATATTGTGTACAGTTTGTAGTAAAACACCTCAGACATTTAAAAACGCTATATAAGTCTTTAAAAATGCAAAACTAGTCTATTGTAAAACAGATTCACCTGAAATACAGCTGATATAACCAAGGCGCTGGAAGGTTATTCATAGGCACACATCTGTCTTTCCTTTTCTGTCGGGTTTTTCGTTTTGTGTTTGTTTTTGATTTTTTTTTAAATTTTTTTCCCATGGGTTTTCCTTTTTTTTTCTTTTTTTTTTTCTCTATTTTTCCTTTCCGTTGGGGTTTTGTTTTTGTTGTGTGGTCGGGTTTTGTTGGGTGGGTTGTTTTTTTTTTTTTTTTTTTCCTTCGTCCAAGCGGAGCCCGAAAAACAAACCTTGTCTGCGAGTAAACACCGTGTGTGACCAGCGGGAAGGTCGGAGAGAGGAATAAAAATATTGCCGAGGCGGCGGCGGGCGGGGACCCCGCGCCGCGACTCCCGAAAGCATAAGTTAAAAGAAAGCCCCGAGGGCAGTCCCGCGGCCGGACCGCGGTCAGAGGTCGTGGCAGCCCGTGTCCGTTTTCACGCCGTGGGAATACACGTCGTGCTGCGGCTGCTCCCCCGGAGGGGTCATGCGCTTCTCCTTCTGCCGCCGGTTGCAGAACCAGACCCGCACCACCTCCTTCTCCAGCTGCAGGCTGTCCGCCAGCGACGAGATCTCCTGGGCGGCCGGCTTGGGGCACTTGAGGAAGTGCGTCTCCAGCACGCCCTTGACACTCACCTCGATGGAGGTCCGCTTCTTCCTCTTCCTCCCCTGCGCCGCGATCTTGTCGATGCTCGTGGGGCTGCCCGTGGAGGAGTCGGCCTCCTCCAGCCACTTGTTCAGCAGCGGCTTCAGCTTGCACATGTTCTTGAAGCTGAGCTGCAGGGCCTCGAAGCGGCAGATGGTGGTCTGCGAGAAGACGTTGCCGTAGAGGGTCCCCAGCGCCAGCCCCACGTCGGCCTGGGTGAAGCCCAGCTTGATGCGGCGCTGCTTGAACTGCTTGGCGAACTGCTCCAGCTCGTCCGAGGTCGGCGTCTCCTCGTCCGAGTGGTCCTGGCAGTGGTGGCCGCCCAGCTCGCCGTGCTCGCCGCCGCCCTCGCCGCGCAGCCCCGGGTGCAAGCCCTGCCCGGCGGCGGCGGCGGGCGGCGGGGTGAGCCCGCCGTGCTCCAGCATCCCGCCCACCGCGAACCCGCCCTGCGAGTACACGCCGAGGGGCTGCCCGGCGGCGGCGGCGGCGGCGGCGGCGGGGGCGGCGAGCGAGGCGCTGTGCGCCGGGCTGGCCCCCCAGGCGCTGGGGTGGTTGGCGTGGGGCGAGTGGTGGGAGACGTGGGGCGAGCGGTGGTGGATGATGGCGCCCAGCTGCAGGTCCTCGCGGCCCGGCTTCACGTCGGGCTGCTCCAGGGGGCCGCCCGCCAGCGCCGCGGGCCAGGGCGCGCCGTCGCTCAGGCTGGTCACCCAGTGATGCCCCAGCGGGTGCCCATTGCCCGGGACGCCCTGCAGGTACTCGCTCTGCAGCAGCTTCTGCGGGCTGCGGAACGGGCTGCCCTGCTGCATGCCCGCGCCCTCGGCGTGGGCGAGCGCGCCGGCGCCCAGCAGGCCGTAGGGGTTGGAGGCGGCTGTGGCCATGGCCGCCGCAGCCCCACGAGTTATACTGAGCGGCCGCCGCCGCGCCGGGCTTTGACATCCAGCGGCACGGCGGGCCGGCGGCGGCCGCGCCGTGACTGGCACCCGCCGCGCCCAATCGCGCCGCGCGGCCGCCCGCGCCGACCAATGGGAGCGGCGCGGGGGCGGGGCGAGGCGGAGGAGGGCGGGGCCGGGGCGCCGCGCGGGCGCGAGGCAGGAAGTGAATCACTCCGCCGGCACCGGGGCCGGGCGCGAGGCGGCCCCGCCGCGTTAACTCCTTCCGCGCCGCGCGGGCACCGGGGGCTGCGGGGGAGCGACGGGAACGGGGAGGGAGGGGGCGCGGGGGCACGGCTTAAATGGGGAGCGATTAGCACCGGGGAGAGCGCGGCAGAGGTTAAACGGCGGCGGCTGCGCTGCGGAGCCACCGCGGGGCTGCCCCGCCGCCCCCGCACGCCGGGCCGGGCTCCGGGGCTCAGCGCCCGCTCCTCCCGCGGTGCTGCCGTCCCGGGCTGCCCGGCCCTGCCCGCCCCTCCTCCCCCAGCCCCGAGCCGCCGCGCTCCGTCGGGAGAGAAAACTCAGAAAAAACCCCAAAATAATAAAAAGCAGCCCCGAAAGGAGCTCCCCCGGCCCCGCCGCCGGTGCGTCCCGCTGGTGTCCCTCGAAGTTGGCGGCGCGGAGCGCACGGGCGCTGTGTGCGCCCGGCGGGCGGGCTGCGGGGCGAAACGGCAAAAAAAGGGCAGAAAAGGGAAAATAACGGGGGAAAAGGCGAGCGCGGTGCCCAGGCACCCCCCGGGGGGCAGCTCTGAGCCCACCCGGCTCGCCAGGGCCCGCCGGGCACAGCCCCGCACCCCCCGAGCCCCGGCGGGGCGGGCGGAGGAGAAGCCCCGGGACCCCCCGACCCGCTCCCGAGTTCCAAAATGACCTTTCCCCGCGTCGTTTCGGAGGTAACCGAGCTGCGTAATTATATTTGCACTTCCAGAAGACTGCATCAGAGTCCCCTTATTGGTTTGAAATTCCATTAAATATATTGCAAGAGCTCCTAGGTTAAGCTTGATTTAAATTTGCATACATTTTCATATATTTAGCAGAAATAAAAGAAGGCTTGCAGCTACCAGAAAGTCATTAAGGCATTAGTTTCTCTGAGAAGACAGATCTGAAGAAAATTCAAGAAAATGAGAAAATAGATCTAAATAAGGTGAGCGCTCCTCTGGTTCCTTCCGAGCCGGGTCCCGTCGCTTTGCTCATTATAATAATAATAATCACAATAATTTCTCGCCGGGGCAGCGTGTGAGAGGGGTAAAGGCAGGGCCGGGTGGTGAAGGAGCAGAGCGGGCTGCGTGGCTGGAGGCAGATCGCGATATATCGGGGAGGCTGCGGGTCCCCGGCGGGCACCGCCGCGCTGCGCACCCGCGGGGGTGCGGGGAGGGGGGGGCGGCTGGGGAAAGGCATAAAAAATAAGGCAAAGTAAATAAGAAATGAAGTTTGCGGGTAGAGCGGCGGCGGTGGGGGGGTGTGTGTGTGGCAGGGGGGGCGGCGGGGGGTCGGGAGTGGGAATGTCCCTGCCGGAGCCCCGCTCCCCGCGCGGGGTGTGCGGGCGGTGCGGGGCGCGCAGCACCGCGGCCGAGCCCGGCGGAGCGCGGGGAGGGCAGGGAAGGAGTTATAGCAGCAGGCTCTTCCTTGTTGGTTGGGTTTTTTTAGCCTTTTCATTTTTTCCCCTTTCCTTTTTTTTTCTTTTCTTTTTTTTTTTTTTTTTTCCCCCACTCTCCGCCTTCACAAGCTCCTCGAAATAAACATCCCCGGAGCCCGCGGGAAAAAGAGAGGAAAAAAAAAAAAAAAAAGCCAACCAACCAAAAAACCCCCCCAACAACATCAAATCCGCACTGTATAAAAACGTAACTAAATTATTTAAAATTAATTTGCACTTTAACTTCCGAAACAATTTTTCAAATCCCATCGCCCGTGAAAATAGATGTTCAGATCCGTCGTTTAATTAAGGCAGAGTCTCTAGCAGGGAAATAAAACCCCGAACGTCCCATTTTAATCTTTGCTGCAAATGTAGCTAAGGCAGAGCCCGGCTCCGCTCCTGCCGAGGCGGCTCTCACCTCGCCTAGAGCAGAGTATGGTGGATTTTATAGTGTTTTTATCTGCATATAGTTAAATCTTCTTGCTGTTCTAACTAATCTGCTGGAGAGGGTTTCTTTAGCTCTTTCCTGTCAGTCTAACTTCCCAAGTGTAACAGATGCCGCTCTCAAGCGGTCCTTTCTGCTGCTTTTCTTTATTCAGCCTCGCATATTTCTCCCCATGATCTGGGTTTCCATAGAGAGAGGAATAAAAGGGGGACCATGGCCACAAATCCCCTGCCCCATGCAGAATAAAAGAGCCTTATTCAATAGCCGACCCCGTCTGGACATGGGAGAAAAATAAGTACATGCAAAGCTACTGTTGCAAGAATTTGTAACTTATTTTTCATAGACCGAAACCCATTAAAGTTTTTTTTTTAATTAAAAAAAAATTTAAAAAAACTTTCTGGGTTCGGACCGTGCGCTCCAGCCCTTTGGCTCCGGGTGCCCCCGCCCCGTAGAGACCCGCGTTTGCCCAACAAATAACTCGCTTTAATATCTATTTTTTCTGCTAAATCTTTGGCGTGAAAAAGCTCGCACAATAGCGGGAGGCAGCACCGTCCTGGGGCAGCAAGAAGTCGCTGGAGGGAACCCCCCGCTTTGAAGTGCAGGGATTGTGTGGAGTCCCCCCGGCACAGGCGGGACCGGGGCTTTCTGGGGTCACCCGGGTGCGTGGCGTCCCCTCGGTGTCCCCCACGCGTGGGGCAGGGCGGGCTGTCCCCGCACCAACCCCGCACGTTCCCCTTTAAGAGCTCCAACCCAAGGCGGGGTGCGGTGTGTTTGTGTTCCATAGGAAGGGACCTGGCGCAGAGCGAGCCCAGGAGCGCGTTTATTATCGTGACAGAGCTGATTTTATTATATTTAAGAGATTTTTTTTTCCCCCCTCATTGTTCATCCGCGGGAGGGGAAGGAGGAAAAAAAAAAAAAAAGGAAAAAGGAAAAAAAAAAGGTCTAAAAGGGGTTCGTTTTGATTGTGTTTAATACAGCATGAAGCTCGGAGCGGTAAGCTGTGCCTCGGTGTCGTGACCTCTATATTGAAAACTTCACCTTCAACACAAGTTCACTTTAGAGACAGGACGAGTTAGATTGCGCTTGGTGGGAACAAGTGCAAATTTAAAAACAGAGTCAATCATAACGGGGGTGGGGGCTGGGAAAGGGCAATTTAACCGTTTCTGGAGCCAGGAGTTAAGGTTTGCATTGTGTACATCCAGGCGCTGAAGCCCAGCCACCCATCAGGGCTGAGAAAGCGGCTCCTGGAGCTCCGGAGAGGCTTTGGGAACACCTAACCTGCGTGGGGGAAGCTTAAGAAGTGAAAAGGAATTTACAGAGCATTAGCAGAAATTAGCCAATACCGACACAAGCTCAATTAGTTCTTTTTTTTTTTTTTTTTTCCTGGTCTCTGTTGGCTGCTCTTGAACGTGAGTAAATGCTGTGCAGGGAGAGAGGAGGGAGAGAGCCACACACTGCCATCTCAGAGCCCCAGCCAGGAGATGGACTGACAGATTGCAAATTAAACTAGTCCTAATGTAAGAATGAAAGCAGCCCCCCCCCCCAAATCTTTCCCAGCACCAGCCCGGCAGCAAAGAGCCCGGCACGGAGGGAGCGTGGCTGCGGCTGGGCTGGTCCAGGGAGGGACAATAAAGCCAGTCCCCGGGCAGGAAAAAAATCTCAAGGTAAATAGTATTTGTGTTCTAACTGCTGCGGTTTCCGAAGCGTTTTGGGCGACTCCTCGCTCCTCTGCTCGAATCGCCTGTTATTGTTGTTATTATTATTGTTATTAATATTTCTTTCGACGTTGTTGATGTTTGGAAAAAATGTACTTGCTGCGGGAAAAAAAAAATGTCGTTCATTCGTGCACTACCCCGTCATGTTCAGGTCACTGTTATTTTGGAGTCGGGTCGGTTTTAGCAGGTCTCGTCTCGAACATTTGGTTGATGGAGCGAAAAACCATCAATATTCCGGGAAGTCTCTCCAAAGCGCACAGTTTTGCTGCGGGACCGGTCTGGCCGTTTATTAAATCCACGAATTGAAACGTCGGGTTTTGTTGTGTTTACGGAGAAAAAAGGGATGGGGAGAGAGGGGGCTGCGGCCGCGGACCCTCCTCGGGCGGTGCGTGGCAGCTCCTGAGGTCACGGCAGGAGTTAATAGACCCGCACAACAATGCGGGTCCTTTCCCTTTTACGTAGGCGCTTTCCTCACCGTGCCACTCACACGGGCGTGATGACAAGAATGCGTTTGTTTCATCCCGGACCGAAATCCCGTGGTTTTTTAGTGGTGTGGTGATGTTTTGTTTTGTTGGGTTTTTTTTTTTTTTTTTTGTGAAGCTTCTCGCAGCAAACGGGGGGATACGGTTAAGGATGGGTACCCCCAGCCCCTGAGCAGCTCCTGCCACGCCAGAGGCCATCCTGCCCCAGCTTTAGAAATAATCCACACACAATTCCCGAACGGACAGATTCCTGCTCAGACATATTTAAAAGAAAATGGGTTGGATTTGAACACGCACTAACTGGCTCGCTAGTTAACCTCTGTTGACTAATGAGACACTGAAGACGAATCGCTCTGTTCCTTGGATGACAAATACCTGCGTTGCTGTTTGGTAGCTTAGCGAGCAGTTTCCATGAGGGGTTTGGGGTTTATGTGTTGTGGTTTTCCCCTTTATTTATTTATTTATTTATTAACTATACGTTTTCCCAGCTGTAGCACTCCTCGTGCAAAGCATCCAGCGATGCTCCTGATCCCGCAGAGGGATTGAAACGCCTCCTGCATTTTGAAGCGCCTCGTCGTTCCTAGATTTACGTTTAGAAATACGTAGATGCTGCTGCTAATTCTTGTTTTGTCACAGACTTTTCGCGTGTTTACGGCTTGGTGGAAAGTTTCCTCCCCTCTTCATTCAGGTCGCGCCAACCAAAGCTGTTATAAAAATGAACTTTCAGGCCAGGCTGCCTTGCTGAAAGATGTTTCCTTCGTGAATCGCTCTTGGGCAATGCAGGATGGTGACGGGGGTCGTGAGGCAGGTTGGGCGTGTGCGGTTCCCTGGCACTTCCTGGCACCTTTTCTCTCCCCCCTCGCCCGGGAGAATCCCGGTGAAAGCCTCTGGAGGCTGCAGCATCCCTGCCCCTCTGTGCCCTCCTCGGGCGGGGGGTCCCGGGCACGGCGGGGGCTGCGGGGGAGAAGTTCACGGGGAGGCGGGCGGACAATAAATCACCGCGGGCCCCAGGGCAGCGCACACGGGAGAGTCTCCATCAAAGCGGGGGAGACAGCCCTCGGCTGCGAGAAATAAATGGGAATAAATCAAAGCGGGGGGTGCCCGGGGCAGGGAGGGGGGCGAGCCGGTCCCGCTCCACCCGGGAGCGCCGGAGCAGAGCCGGGGAAAGGCACTCTGCAAACTTTTAATGAAATCACCGGTGCTATCGATTTTTGCGGGTTTTCTCGCCGTGCTTCAGACATTGGAAAGTGTCCCTCTGGGAATGGGGGAGGGGGCAGAAGGCAGCGGTGCAACACGAGCTGTATTGGACATGCAGTTATTTCATATTTTCGAAAATAAACGGCGTCTTTGAGGGTCCACCAGAGAGCAAAGGGACTCCGGGGGCGCTTGAGCCAACTCTTAAAGCTCGGGGTTTAAGCGTGCAGGTATCAGTTTGCAGGCCCTTCGTGGACCTCTGGAGGACCGGGACGGGCTGTTATCCCCGCGATTCCTGATGGAGAACCCCGGGAGAGCGGGCTCTCCCCCTCGGACAACACGGTTGTGAAGTGCCACATCCAAGTGTTTCCTCTTTGCCTCTTCTCCAAACTGTTTAGAAATTACTAGTAGCGGATAAGTAAATTGCAAGTAAACCTAGTGAATTAGGATGATTCTCTATCAGTTTAATTTATGTTTTATAGTTAGTTTAGCCTTCTGATTTGATTGCCTTAGTAATGTGAATTGCCTACAGCTGCTGATGATACAGCTTTAATTCTGTTTTAAAGGTCATGTAAACATGTGCCTGTAGCATAAGGAATGCAAATTCAATTCCCTTTTAATGCTTCCTCACATTCACTTCACAGCCTTCACCTAGAAAATTAGCAGGATTTAATA